TGGCATGACTATTGTTTTAATTCAAGTATTAGGTTGATAAATCGAAACATTATACAATGAATAATTTTTAATCAATATGGTGATGAATAAATGTTGTTTTATTTATAATCATAAGTTCTTAGACCATATTGGATTCGATTATTCTTGTGTTTCACTTTGCATGTTTTGACTTCCCGAATAACTAGGTTATTCAAACTCTCCACAGTCAATCATACTTTGGAAGTAGGTATGAATTAAGATTGTCATGAATTGGGCCTATATATGTCTAAAGTGTTTAGACATAGCAAAAGTTGTTGCAACATTCATGAGTGCTCTTGGAATGAGATTCGAGTATTGGATTAAAGCCACGCTCATTTGAATCACTTCATGGATTTTATCACGAGTGATCATGAGATGATAATATCTTATATTCTTCAAACCTAGAGATATGATTTGTTGACTATGAGTTGGTTACACATTGATTGTACGAAAATGCATCAGTAACTTGATGTTATAAAACGTGCCTTTGTGTATGATTCAACAAGTAGTTAGTACAAGCATATGAGTCGAATTTTATACATTCCTTTTACCCTTGGAGGGATAAAAGCAATATATGTGGGCCCCTCAATGATTTAGTGATGAAAAACGTAAGTACTCGGTCGGGCCTGGACTGAATGATTTGTTCAGTTAGTCGGTCGTTATAAATCGGAAAGCGGGAAACAAAAAACGGACAGAGAGAATGATTATAATCCATGTCTCAGTCCATGTGATATCTAGAATGGAGGAATATATGATCCCTTATCTAATGGACATGTTATTGACTAGGTTAGAGTGTGATAACGACTTTTAAGAGCTACGATTGCTAGTCGGCTTTTGGAATCATACTTGCAATAATAGTTTTAGACTTATCCAAGTGGGAGACTGTTTGATTAGATGTCTAAGCCCATAACTATTATTGGTATGTACTCGAACCGAGAGTAGCATGGTCCATTTGGGTTGTATATCATCAGGACAATTTGTTAGGATAGATTCTTGAGAGAAGGTTATATATATGATTTATTAATATATATTATAAGTTATAATATATTAATATGAAATCATATGTTTTAATTAGTATTGATCAAGAATTAATTTGGAATTAATTTTGTGACCAAAAGAGACTAATTAAATCTATGGGGACTAATTATGGTAATTAGTTATATTTATATGTGTTGGGCTTATGATCCATGTTGGACCAAGTTTATCTATGGATACATAGAGAGTTAGGCCACATGAACCATGGATCATAAACCCATGGGTATGGGTTTGGGTTAACCCATGACCTTTGGAATTTCACATATAAATATGTTACTTCATAGCCAAAATCACCACCAATGTATTCTTGGAGGACATGGATGGTTTTGGTGTGTATGAATTCTCTCTCAAGTTTCATCCTTTGTCCATGATGTGCTGTGACTTCATTTGAGGCTCCCACACTATTGGGGTTAAGCTCTTAAGGCCAAATACATCAAGACTTCAGGCTACATAAAAGGTATGTTACCCTAACTAGTATCTGATTATGGTTTATGTCAAATGCATGCTAGTTATTAGTTTAATGCCTTGGAAACCATTTGCATGTATAATTTGTGAAAACATAGATCCAATGTATTTAGGGTTGTATGTGCACCATAGGATGTTGTAGTATACAAAACCCATCAGTATGTACTTGACCCGATAGTAGCATGGTCCTTTTGGGTTGCCTTCACCATAGCAACTTGACTGGATGAATGATGGAGAAAGAGGTTAATTGTGATTTATTAATATATTATAAGAATAATATATTAAATGAGAAATCATATTATTTAATAAGTATTGATCAAAAATTAATTTGGTGGTCAAAAGAGAGTAATTGAATTGTGGGGATTGATATTGTAATTATAAGATAATTGCAAAGTTGGGCTTATGGATCCCTAAGGAAGGGATAGAAGAATTCTATGAGGGAGTCCACATAGATTTCGTCTGTAGGGCATTCTGGAAGGATCTTGTGGACTGCTTGAGGATTAAGCAATTGGATTAGGGTTTTACCACTTGAACCCTAGAAGGAATACCAGCCGATTTTGAGCCTCCTAAACCTCTCTCGTATTCTTCCAACTGGCTACTTGGTATTTTTGATCCATTTGAGGTGCAACAATTGAAGCACTAAGCTCTTGAAGGTCAAGATCTACAAGCTACAATCAAAAGGTATTATTCTAAACTTGTTTTATGTTATGATTTCTGAAAATTGTATACTAGTTAGGGTTCATGCTTTGGATAACTTGATTTGCATGTATAACTTGAGAAAACATAGATCTGAAGCATTAGGGTTGCATGTACACCACAAAGATGTTGTAGTGCTCAAAACCCATCATAGTCTGGGGTGTTTACTCTGATGTTTTGATATGATACTCTGATTTGATGTTTGGAATACTATGCCTTATGTTTTTGATGGAATGATTTTATTAACTATGGTTTTATTTTAATGGTTTAAAAATGAAATTTTTGGTCATAATTTTTGGGATGTTACAACAAGGCTCAACTAGGGTTAAGGTTTCATGGAAAGGGTGTTGGAGGGGTGGAGGCTGATAATGGAGTAAGTTTGGGGGAGTTAAGGAGCTTAAATAGGGCTCAAACCACAAAAATAGAGTTTGGGCGCTAATCGCGTACGCCTAACGTACTCAGGGTGCCCCAATACGCCCCTTTGTACGCCCAACATACTCACCATAACCCAATACCGACCAAACTTCAAACACGTATAACTTATTCGTTCTGACTCCAATTTTGACGTTCTTTCTATCAACGTAAATGTATTGAGGAGTTCTACAATATTATCTAAATATCTTGGACTAAAAACTTATTCAACAAAAAACCATATTTCATGCAAGAACCCGACTTATGATTTTTCTCGTTTTACCCTTTGACTCCAAAACACAATTCAAAGGTTTAGATCTCATAACCATCATTACCTCATTCTAAAAGGTCTAAACATCGTCTCCTTAAGGCCTAAAGCATTTACGCAATCAACTTCTGACCCACGATCCTGAATTACAGAATGATCCCGAACAGGGTGTTACATAATATAAACTTTTACTTTATGATTATTGTTCCGACAAAATGTTGTTGGATGTGTTTTTGATAATTGTATTTTGTAAGAATGTGAATGGATGAATAATGATGCATGAGAACAAGTATTAACGAGAATGCATGATGACAATAGACAATATCATATGACGTTGAACATATTCATATTATCAAATGATCTATTTTTTTAATCATTCTCATAAACGAACACCGTCCAAATTATCCACACAAAATAACATATTTGAACCTAACCCATATAATATATAAATAAAATAATTATTACTAATTGAAATATTAATATTGCCAAAAAAAAAAGGAAAAAAAAAAAAAAGTAAAAGAAAAGGGCTAATGTCAAAAAAAATCCTTACATTTTCAGCATTTTGTCGGTTTTGCCCAAAATTGGATTTTATGTTCATTTATACCTCAAACTCTTGCATTAAGCTGACCGGACGAAGTTGCTGAGTTGGAAGCCAAGTCAGCATTGCTGACTTTTGTCTTCAAGTGAAAGAAGGTAAAAGAACTAATTTGGAGCAAGGAGATTCGAACCTAAGTCCCCCGCAAATATAAGGAGAGCTTTTTCCACTAAGCTGAAATGACTTTTGTGATTTTACTTACAATATATCATATTTAATATGTATTCGCCTGTAACTTTTAAATAATAACTATTATTATTATTATTATTATTATTATTATTACAATTTTTCTAACGTGTTTATATATTTAAAATTGTAATTTTTTATTTTTAAAAACATATTTATAACGTAGAAAACGTATTTTAACGTATTTATTAGGTATGTATGTATTTATTTTTCATAAAAACATATTGATGCATTTTTATATGTATGAAAAAAATTTATACGTCTAAATATGTATAACAACGTTATTTATATGTATAAATAAAAGCATATTGATGTACTTTTATATGAATGAAGAACATATATAAACGTATAAATACGTTTTTTATAAATAAAAAATGCATCAATATGTTTGTATATGTAATTATATGTATACATTATGTGCAAAGATGTTTTTTTGCATATTTATACGTATGCATTATGTAAAAAGACGTATAAATAATGTTGTTATACATATTTAGACGTTTTTTATACACATAAAAATACATCAATATGCTTTTATTTACACATATAAATAACGTTGTTATACATATGTACATGTATAATTTTTTTTCATACATAAAAAATGCATCAATATGTTTTTATAAAAAATAAATACATACATACCTAATAAATACGTTTTTATAAATATGTTTTTAAAAATAAAAAATTACGATTTTAAATATATAAACACGTTAGAAAAATTGTAATAATAATAATAATAATAATAATAATAATAATAATAATAACAACAGTTATCATTTAAAAGTTCTAGTCGGATACACATTAAATAGGATATATTGGAAGTCAATTCACAAAAGTTCTTTCAGCTTGGTGGAAAAAACTTCCCTTATATTTATGAGAGACCTTCGTTCGAACCCCCTTCTACCATTAATGTTTTTTACCTTTTTCACTTGAAGACAAAAGTTAGCCATGCTGACTTGGTTTCCAACTTAGCAACTTCATCCAGTCAACTTAAGGGATCACAAAAACCGGCCAAAGGCTAAAAGTGAACAAATTAATGCAAGTTTGAGGCATAAATGAACATAAAATTCAATTTTAGGTAAAAACGACAAAAAGGGATCACAAAAACCGGCCAAAGGCTAAAAATAACAAATTAATACAAGTTTGAGGCATAAATGAACATAAAATTCAATATACTGAAAATGTAAGGATTTTTATCACATCAGCTCAAAAGAAAGATAATTTGCATTCTCATTTATCTATTTGTTTGATATAAATACACACATATTAGATTCTCTGCCTCTCTCACACACGCGATACACCAGAACTTCTTCCCATCCCCACCTCATGGATTCTCTTCCTCCCGAAACCCTAGCTCCCACTCCTACTCCCTATGATGCGTTGGATTACACCAATAACTCTAGTAACCAGCATCCGCCGCCTGATTTTGGCTCAGCGCCTCCACCCCCGCCGTCCGATTCCGACCACAATTTTTCTCATCAACTGCAAATCGTATGTCAAACGGATCCCAAGCCAGACACAACAGATCCGAATCCTGAGAATGGCGGCGTTAAGAGTGTTACTACGGAAAAGGATAACTCTGGCGTGGACGAGGATACAACCAGCAGGAGACGGAGGCGTAGCAGATGGGACCCGCCTCCTACCGATGGAGATGCTGATCAGAATGGGGGTAAAAAGAGGAAGTCTCGTTGGGCGGACGACGAGCCAAAACCCGTGTTTCAGTTGCCGGATTTCATGAAGGATTTTACTGGAGGTATGGATATGGATCCAGAAATTCAGGCTTTGAATGCAAGGCTTATGGAAATTAGTAGAATTTTACAGTCTGGACAACAGTTAGATGATCGTCCGGAAGGTGCTAGGTCTCCTTCGCCGGACCCGATATATGATAATATGGGAACCAGAATAAACACTAGGGAATTTAGGGCGAGGGAAAGGCTTAACAGAGAGAGACAAGAGATTATTTCGCAGATTATTAAAAGAAATCCTGCTTTTAAGCCCCCTGCTGATTATAGGCCTCCCAAGCTTCAGAAGAAGCTATATATACCAATGAAAGAATACCCTGGTTATAATTTTATCGGACTTATAATTGGGCCGAGAGGTAATACGCAGAAGAGGATGGAAAAGGAGACTGGAGCTAAAATTGTTATACGGGGGAAAGGCTCAGTGAAAGAAGGCAGGTTTGGGCAAAAACGTGATTTGAAGTTTGATCCTTCTGAAAACGAAGATCTGCATGTTTTAGTGGAAGCAGAGACACAGGAAGGGCTTGAAGCTGCAGCAGGGATGGTGGAAAAGCTATTGCATCCTGTTGATGAAGGATTGAATGAACATAAAAGACAGCAGCTGCGTGAACTTGCTGCTCTGAATGGAACAATAAGAGACGACGAGTATTGTAGATTGTGTGGTGAACCTGGGCATCGTCAATTTGCCTGCCCCTCCCGCATGTCAACTTTTAAGAGCGATGTGTTGTGTAAGATCTGTGGCGACGGAGGACACCCAACCATTGATTGCCCTGTGAAAGGGACTGCAGGAAAGAAAATGGATGATGAGTATCAGAATTTCTTGGCAGAACTTGGCGGGACCCTTCCAGAAGGTGTCACCAAGCAAAGCACACCATTGCCAATCATGGGTTCTTCCACTAGCAATCCCCCATGGGCACCCAGCACAAACGGAGGAGGAAGTAGTACAGGAACATCTGCACATCCGGGTCTAGGAAGCAGTGTAGCAAAACCAGGAGTCGGTTTTGGTCTTGGAATTGGTAAAGAAATCGATGATACCAATCTGTATATCGGGTACCTGCCTCCGACTTTCGAAGATGATGCCCTGATTCGGTTGTTTTCACCATTTGGGGAGATAGTAATGGCAAAGGTGATTAAAGACAGGGTCACTGGGCTGAGCAAGGGTTATGGTTTTGTCAAGTATTCTGATATATCTCAGGCCAATCAAGCCATTGCTAGCATGAATGGTTATCGTCTGGATGGAAGAGTAATTGCAGTAAGAGTTGCAGGAAAGCCACCCCAACCTACTGTACCCCCTGGTCCTCCTGCTCCCACTTATCCTGGCGGGTATCCATCTCAGCAGATGAGTGCGCCGCCTGGGAGTTATATTAGTGCCCCGGTTCCATGGGGACCACCACCACCTCCTCCTCCTCCTTATGCTGCTTATGCTCCTCCTCCGCCTCCTCCTCCTCCTGGATCGAGCATGTATTCGTCCTACCCAAGCCAACAACAGATCCCCTCCTATGGTGTTCAATATCCTCCTCCTCCCCCTCCTCCACCACCTCAGAGCAAGAGTACTGAGGCCCAAGCCCAACAAAGCTACCCAAATAATATTAATGCCCCTCCTGCACAGTCCCCATCCCAGTCTAGTAATGTTTATGGGACAACAACAACACCACCAAACACCCAAACTGCATATCCTTACTCTTCTTATTACACTCAGTCAGTAGTTGAGCAGCAAAGTTTTGCAACTGCACCCTGGTCTTTAAATCTCTCTGCAGACCAAACTCAGCAAACTACTTATGGCACAGACCCTGAGTATGACAAGTTTATGGCTGAGATGAAATGAATGTTGCTTCTACTTCTTCTGCATATGCATCGACTGTAAGTCTGCACCTTATTTTCTACCTACCTTTCTCTTTTTGGTCATTTGGTTACTACGACCTAGGAGTTGGCTTCTGCTTACTCACTTACTTAACTTTGAGTGAAATTCTTGACTTAAAATAGATAGTCAGCAGTCTGAACATATAGACATGATGTTACAAATTTTGTATTAGTTACTCGAGACAAAATAGAAATTAATGTCCATGATTTACAAATTTGAAGAGTTGTGTTTTTTTTTTTTTTTGTAGCCACTAAGAACCATTGTGTTCTTCTAACGATGCCTGCAGCACCATTGTAACAATAATTAAAATAATGTGTATTTAAGTTAAAGTTTACTGTTGAAAATGTTTCATCAATGACAGATTCTGCTAAAACCTAGTTGCTAGATTTTTTTTTTTTTTGGCAGATGGAGGGGAGGCATCAGCTGCTTTGTATTTGTAAATTGTAATTTTAATCCAAGTCTGACAGTGTTACTTATTTAACAGCTGTTGTTGCATGCTAACAATGCGTTTGTCTTGGCCTAATGGCTACTGTTTTTAACTCATCATTATCGGGTTATTGCTAGTCATGTGACCTTTTTTCTTGCAAGTTAATTTAAGACCTAAGAGTGGATTTGTTAGCAATGGTTTTCTTTGTACAAGAGCTGTTAGTTTTGCTGAAAGTAAAAGACTAGCAATGAGATAAATAGTGAATTTGGTTTTTGAATAAAGAAATGGAAAAGTTTTGTAGTTTGGTTATTGAATGGTTGGGGGGTGTTGGTGCAGGGAGCTTTGAAAAGATGAATTTATGGTGATGGAAGAGTAGGCAGTTGGTGTTTTAGTATGTAATGTATGATGTATGATGTATGAATGATAATTGATATGAGATATGTAGGTGAATTAGTTGATAACGACTCTTCTTGTTTATGGTGATATTGTTTGGCAGGTTTCTTGGAGCTTTCAACCAAACCAACCTTATTTTGTTTGGTTTCTGAATTCTGACTGACTCAATCAAGTGTTACTTGTTGGAAGTGTTTCAGACTCATTTATTCTTCTTGCTGTGGTGTTGCCTGCCATCACCCAACTTCAGAAATTCACATCTTTATGCATTGCTTGCTGATAATAATATTTTTCATTTTTTACTAATATTTTAGATCATGAATTTTGGTTGTGTATGTTTCTACAATATAATTCACATCTCTATGAACATGTTTTTTTTTTTTTCTGGTTGATATGCATGCCATTTACTTCTGCAGATTGGAAGGACTTCCATTTCTTCCCTATATGGTATGGGCATTATTATTATTATTATTATTTTTATGAGAGGCCATTTGAGTGTTGGTTATTGAATCTAACTTGTAACAAAGTTGGCTGCTGGTGCCAGGTATTGCTATATGGATCTCATCATCTCTCCTGTCTCCTGTCCATACTCTTACTCTCTCACTTCACTTGAATATGCTCTGCCTGAAACACTCTTTGCAGGAATATGCTCATGCATGCTAAATATTTATGTCATATGATCACATGAGTTGCTTTGTTTTTGCACCTGAAAATGACATTGCACAACTTGCTACCTTGTTTTTTTTTTTCTCCATTTCATCTTATGGTCAATATCATCATCTAACAAAATTACGTTTCCAAGTCTGGTTATGCCATAAAAGAGTATGTGTTGAATGAAGATCTGTGTCACGTGTCTTGAATTAAATCTTTTGGAGATTAGGAACATGGCTTTGAAGATATAGTGCATGTATTGCAAAAAAAAAAAAAAAAAAACATAATCACCCCCCAGTGATTTTAGCCTAGTAGGGTTTATATGATGGATTCACCAAAGTTTGATCTGTTTTGAGTTTTAGGATTAGACTGACATTTATCCAGACTTGGTGCTTGTTATCTTTGAGGGATTATGTGTATACTGCTGGTGTCCATATGACTTAAGTTTTTAGTGGTCTTCCCTAGTTATTGGTGATAAACTACTGACATCTAAGCTTACTTGTTATTGTTTGAATAGCTCGGCAATGGAGCTTTGACTTGAAGCTGGATGAAACCTTACCAAATAATCCTGTTACTTTTTGATCGACTAGTTGAGCATCTTGATTAGATTAGTCACATGGCATGTTATTTTGTAAAATACTTATGTATGACCAACATGATTCAGTATCTTACATTTTATATATAGGAAATCACATTAACAAAGTCTTATGGCTTTTAGTTTTTGAATGGATAAGGACAATGAACGGATAAGAATAATAAAAAGGGCGACTACCAAAAGATATTATCTTTAATCTATCAATGCCTATGAAGACTTATCTTAAAATAGTGTTTTTGTATTTTCTGTCTTTGTCTTATTATAATCTCATCGTAATTTTTTTTCTTTATTTTTCTATGTATGATAGATGATATTATATCAATGTATTCTCTAATCTTTATTTATAAATATTTCATGTCTATCTTATTACAGTTTTAGTAATATTCTTGTTCTTACAAAAGAAAATAAGTGTCTTCTGCAATTTTATGATAACTGTGTTTTTTTTTTTTTTGAAAATAACTGTTTTTTGAAACTTTCTAATTGAGGTTTTTCTAAAAATAACTGTTTTTGTAACGTTTTGATCAAGTTTTAATTGTACAGTAACACAAAATCTTCTGTCAGGTAGGTATAATACATTAACATGCTATTATGTCAAATTGTCAATGTAAAAACACACTTGTTGGACGTCTGGATGAGTGAATGTGTTACAATTAAGCATGCGTGCACGTTCCAAGATGTGAGTTACATATTTTGTTTGAGACACAAACGCACCTTTGTTCCGAGTAACCGTGACACCAAGAAAATAGTTAACATCGCCTAAATCTTTCATAGAGAATTAAGCATGGGACGCTGATGAAGTGGTTACGATGATATAGGAATATAGATATTCCAGATCATTACTATGTTTGTAAACAAAGAGTGCTGAGTTGATTTTACTATAAGTGATGACATAGGTGGCAAACGTTGGAACCAACCTCTTGGGCTTGTTTTGGCCCATATAATGATTTTTGTAGACGACAAACATGATTAGGAAGAAATTTATCAGTCTCAGCAAGTTGCCCATGTAAGAAAGTTTTCTTTTCTTAACATCAAGTTGGTAAATATGCCATTTTCTGGAAACTACAACACTCAGAACGTACAAATTGTGACTCGTTTACAACCGGCCTAAAGGTTTCACCACAGTTACAACCATTAACAACTACTCATGGATCCGTCAACATTTTGTTTGTGTTTAAATAATCACATACATCTGATAATATTAACACACTTATATGTCTAGGAACAAGTACCGAAATATTATTCTTAATAAATGCAATATATATATATATATATATATATATATATATATATATATATATATATATATATATATATATATATATATATATATATATATATATATTCATTTATTATTGCTTGTTGCCAATTTGGATCTTGGAGAGCTTTTAGGTGAGAGCGAGGAATATGAGAGATGGTAGGTGTATGAAGATCGAGTCTCTATATGGGTTTAGAGATACCGAGACGAGAGTGAGTTTTCATTGGAGGAGGTACAACAAGAATGATAAATTCAATGTTTGGCGAAAATAGAAAACAAAGTGAATCATAGGAAACATAATAAAAAAAAGATGATAATCCTTTGGTGATGTGAAATGGAGAAAAAAGAAAGGATTCCCAACGTGACAAGAATCATAAAGAAAGAAATCTTTTGAGAAGTTTTACAAAGCTATAATTCTAATGAAATTAAGATACATGTGTATCCTAATATGGAACATAATAAACCCTAGTTGCCAAAGGAAGGAATAGATACTCCTACATTGGTGGAAAATAAGAAATATAAGTAATCAATGGTGTAAAGAATGGTCAAATAACCATTGTAAGTATATGAAAGTACATTGAACTAATGTAGTAACTTGGTGAGGTGCAATTTTTTAATGGAAATAAACTTACACACATCCTTTTTGCAAGTTTCTATGTCTAATGAAACGTGGAAATGGCAATGATATAAGATCTTATAATGAGTATGACAAAGCTCAAGATTATTATTAAAAATACATGTTAAACTATAACGCGTAGTTTAGCAGGGCTTGAAACGTCAAAGGCATAAACTATACAAGTGGGAATGCATAAGTTACAAGTCTCAAGGAATGAATAATTTGAGACCAACAAAAGTCCCTAAGTTTGTTTAAGATCATAATGTAGGATCAGGTCCCTTAAAAAACACACACTACTCACATATGTATGTGAAACTTAAGTTGCGACTAGAAGGAAAAATGGAAAAGCTTGTGTATTCGAATGAAGATATATGGGGTACAAAACAAAAGAAATAATACATATTTATAAGGGAAAATGACTTATAAGTGCAACGAAGTTTTCAAACCGTTCAAACCGTTCAAAAAATGATTTATAAGTGCAATGATCTCAAGTGCTTCATCCCTATCACCGCAATGCATCGGCTGACCCGCAAAAAACTGGAAGTAACTCAGGCTTCGGTTCAAAGATCTAAGCATACAACATAAGAAGTAAAGTTTGAGATTACAAGGAGACTTCATTAGCTTGGCGAAGTTAGGAAGTTTTGGTGGCTTCTCATCAAATTCCTAAAACTTGATAAGTAAGGAAGAAAAGTTGAAGAGGTCATTTTGGGGGGAAATGTTGCTACATAAAGTGACCCTTTTAAACTTGACGATCTGCAACCACTTCTCCCATCGCAATCTGCTCTCTCTACCGCAATATCTTTTGCTACAACAACCGCAGTATGCATATGTCTTCCGCAACTATCCCATCCACAATGAAGATTTCAGTTACATCATCTGACTTGTCTTTTATGCATTATTTTATCCAATGGACCTTGTATGGTCACATTAAGTTAGAAGTTTATTACTTGTTTATTTCCAATGTAACTTTTTGAGTCTCCATAAATAGAGACTTCAGATTCATGTAACTTACACCTTTGAACATCTCTGAATACACATATCTTATCTTCTATTATCTTTTGATTATCAATCAAAAAGATCTTTCTGAACTTTCACTCCAAATATTAAGATCGTGTTCTTATCTCATCTAGTCTTCAAGACTCCTTTCACTTTAAACTGGTCACATATACTAACTTGTGTTTTATTAAAAACCTCATTATGAATCAGTTTGGTGTATACTTGATATAACTTGTTATTATTTACATTTCCTTTACTTTTCAACACTTTTAATTCCGCAACTAACTAGCTAACAATCTAACCTCTTATTATTGTTGAGCTTTTATGATCCTTTGAAATTAACTTATTCCATAACTATAATCTTGTACTAACATTTGTTTAAGTGTTTCTCCCACAGATTCGCTTTCACACATCTTCTCACTCTGAATATCTGGAGAACTTTCAAGAATATCTTGAACGTATGGAAGAAAATGTGTGTATCCTAAATGAGGCAACAGAAGCACGGGTCAAAAAACTTCAAGTCACTATTGAAGACTTTGAAGGCACAACATCTTATATAAAAGGACAAGTTGCTCGCAACATGCAGAGGATCGAAACTGTACATCAGAAATATTCACAAAACTATTAAAGATTGTCTATCTCCGATGCATCAGAAGATAGATGACTTTATCCAGTCCTTATCTAGTCTAGAGTTTGTCTATGAAGCTAAGTTAGATCATATGTAGAATCATGTTACTGTTCAAGACCAATACATCTCCACTCTTGAGAAGTCCATTGCGAGACGATCTAAAGCTTCCACGTCATCCTCCACCTCTCCCTTTCAAGCATTTAGTGAGCAAGTTCAACGTCAATTGGATTCATTAAGATCTGACATTGCAAATCTCTTAAAATCCAATTCCGAGAAAGACAATAACTCATCAGGTGACATATCTTCCCTTCAGAAGACTGTTCAGTTGCTAGTCGATGAAGTCAAGGCTATCAATACACAATCTTCCTCTTCTGATGTATGTGCTCTTCAACAAAAGTTTGCATCGACTGATTCCAAACTTGACTTGATCTTAGCAAAGCTATCTGGTTCAAATGACATGCCACCTTAACCAGAGTGGGAAAAAGTCAACAAGATCATATCAAGTCAGTATCCTGTCATACATCACATTCCAGACTCACTAAATAAGTTTGAGAATAGGAGACAAGAGAAATTAGAGTCACTTGACAAAATGGCTGCTGATTCACGATTAAAAGCTCAACATAACAAAGTAAAGATGGGTGATGGGTGAGAAAGAAAAGGAGCTTGTTCGACGACAAGAGATCAAAGATCCATCTCTAAAAGTTCCAAGAAGGAAAGATGTTTACTTCTCCAAACCTGTCACCATATCAGAACCAATCACCCAACCAAAGCTTCCTCAAACTGATCCCAAGGATAAGGGAAAATAGAAGATTGTCTTCAAGTCTAAGAAGGAATTAGCTAAAGAAGCTTAAATGGAGATAAATGAAGAATTAGCTAAGCAAATGAAGGCTAAGGAATTAAAGTCTAAACAAGTGGTGCTTCTCAAAAAGAAATCTCTAGAGATCTCATCTGAAGAAAGGAGTACATGGCATGATGAACAATTTAAAGTGTCATCATCTAAAAGAACCATATGCTTTAACCCTGATAGAGATTCTTATCAAAAGATCAAGGTCATCAAACCCATAAATTCCTTCACACCTCCTTCAGAACTCACTAAAGAAAACTGGGATATCCCTGCACCCCCGAATGGTATGAAGTTCAATTTATGGCCAAGTGCAATTTATCCAGTTGAGGTCGATATAGACATTGAAGAGGTGGAGAAAATATTATTCTTGAAGAAACCAATTCAAGTTGTCTTTGTATGGTCAAAATTCAAGATTGCTTCAATTAGCAAAATTGACATACAAAAATTTAGAAAGATGCCATATGCATTCTTTCAAGGAAAAAGGACAGACAACTCTGAATTCATGTTTTCTGAAGCTGATTTCCCTAAAATAAACCAAGATGATATCATATCACTGATCATTTGGTTGAAACAAAGGGTGAGTACAGATAAAGCTTATGCAGATGTCCTACAACGCCTAAGGCAATATGTGCTCGACATGGTTATTGATTTTAGTGTTGACTGGGACATTGGACACCTAGGAGAAAAGGAAGCCGAGGAACCAAATTTTGATCTAAATATGGAAAATGAGTCACCTGCGAACATTTTAAAGAAACCACACATAGGTGTTGTATTCTCTTTTAAAGGTCGACTGAAATTCATGAGAATCTCTCAAAAACATCTATTCTATTCTGAATTCATTAAAGGCATCATTGGTCTATTGAAGAGAATAGAAGATCAAGATGAGTCGCTGAGAGTGAAGATCATTGAAGAACTTACATGGTTTGTTAAGTTTTCGGCAATGGTTAATAAACTTGAGAAACAAGGTTTAGATTATGTGTTTTTGTTTTGTTTTTCCAAACATGTGAATGATGTTTTTTTTCTTTTTGCTACTACTAAATCATCTTATTGCTAAAATTCATCTTGCATGTTATTACTTTTATTTCTCTTTTATTTTTACTCCTTATTTCACTAACCATCATAGAGGGGGGAAACCGTTGGAAAATATTTGTATGTGATTGTCACTTGAAATAAGTTGAGTCCTTTTATATTTCTCTCTAACAAACATTATCAGAAAGTTTCAGGTTGGAAAGATACTGAAGATTCAACAAGTATCTGAAGAATCATATGTTGGAGCACTTGAAGCTTACATGGAGCACCTGTTGTTGACATGGAGCACTTGAAGAAATCAAGTTAGATCATCATGATCTCAGATAGCATATCCAGATCATATGTGGAGCATCAAGATATTAGTGAATCATTTGAAATATTGATGGATCATCAGAAACATTATTGGCTCATCCACAACTCTATGGCTTAACAAGAGTTGATGGCTCAACATGAATACTTGGTGGCTCAACTCAAATCAATGGATCAACATGATCACATTAATGGCTCAACAAGACTGCACATGACACATCATGTACAATGAAGGCACGTCCAAGTACTCAATGGCACATGTAATTTGTTCTTGGTCCATCATGAACAAGTAGTCGTACATCTTCAAGTTCAAGACACATTCCTACATTCAAGAAACAACTCAACTTGGTCAACAACACTTCTGGAAGTTGATGACATCTAAGAAGACAATTGAGCAACGTGATGCTCATGTTACTCATCATATTTTCAATGTTGATCATGAAGGCTCAAGAATTATGAAGACTCATAACTTGGATGGAACCCTAACGTAATATTAACGTAATTGGAATATTCCATCCACTCTCCGTTAAGTAGGGCAAATGCAACTGATGACTAATTCATGATGATGTGTCAACACCTGATTGGTCAAGCCATGTCATGTGCTTTTCCAAATCCTATAAATAGGCCCCTTGGGATCCATTATAAAGTTGTTCTTTTCTGATCATTCCTGCTTATTCTGCACAATTGATGCTTAGACTAGTCTTTAGAGAGTCACTTGAGAATTTTAGTGTGTTTTACATTCAAACATGTTTTACTGAAAGTAAAAACCTTACTTTTACTAAGAAATAATTGAATCATTGATCTTAAGTCTAAAAAACATTTTTCTATTAATTTGATTGATTCACAACTCTTTATTTTCCGCACTACTTGCCACTTGACATTTCTTAAACTTTGTTTCAGTATTTTTTAACACTTGGACTATTCTAATCTAGGTTTACTGAATTCTTCTCATTTCTTCATAAAATACCAGGTAGCTCACTAAAATTGTTAAAGGCATGTCACTAATTTTAATTGTATATACATTGTTATAAAAAATAAAAAAAATTGGTGGGTCAAATGACCTATCAAAGGTTAACATACGCTCACCATTGTCCATATCTATACTATCTAAATCATACACGTTGTCCATTTTCTTGAAAGTAAAAAACCTTACTTTTACTAAGAGTGAAACACGAGAAGGAAGAAAGGATATGTTAAGGGATTTCTCACTTACTGAGGGTGTTTGTTTTTACCTCAGTCCACATAAGCCATTTAATGTCACATCAGCAAATGCAACCAGATAAATAAGGGTGTCCGGATGAAAAAGACTAATTTGTTCAAGTTACTCGGTTTTCTATGTTATTTTGTTTTAAAAAATCGGACCTAAATTGAAACTTTTTCTCAAAAGTTTATAAGTAAATAATACTAGTTGTGAGACTCATGTATTACATGAGTTAATTTAAAAATAATAATAATAATAAATATTATAATGTATATCTTTTTTATCTTTTAAATTAAAAAAAGTAATTTAATAAATAAATAAAACTAATGAGTTTAATTTTGAGAATTTTGATATTAAAAGGTAAATTCATTAATAAATTGATATCAATTTATTACTATATTTATTATAAATATTAATTTTTATATGAAATTTAATAAAATAAAAATTTTATAAAATAACATATAAAAAAATTAATTCAAAATATTAAACAGAATAAAAATATAACAAATACTCAGTGATGGATAAATACATTTTAGTCCAAGACCAACCGATGACATGCTACTCGCTAAACATTTCCATTAAAAATCTGACATGTCATCATAATCATAATCATACCGCGTCACCCAGCTGCTGACATGTCACCATCCACGTCAACAACATAATGCCTAAATCACCCTTCTAGACCCAGGTAATTTGAAGTGAAAGGACTCGTGATTTAGGAATTTAAACCTGAACTCAATCGTTCGACTGGATCTTTTATGTTTATTATTATTATTATTATTATTTCAGCGCTTATTGTTTGATCCGTGTTTGAATTTTGGTGCCTGACTGTTCATGGCGGCTCCGTTCTTTTCAACGCCTTTCCAACCCTTCGTTTATCAGGTGTGGAAATCAGAATTTCAGTAGGTTTTTGTGGGTTTTTATGTTTGAAAGTTTTGGTATGGATTGATGATTAGATAAACGGTGTATGATGTGGTAGTTAAGGTGAGTGTTAGGTTAATCAAGGTGAAATGTTGTGTAGAGTATAACATTGAGCATTTTATAACATAAACGTAAGATTTGTAGTTAAAGCAAAAGTAGAGAAACTGTTGTAATTAGCTTATGATACTTAAATCCATGATTCTATATATGTTAATCAGTTTAGGAGTATTTAACGTTTTGTTTGTGATATTTTGTTACTCATTGGATTTGGGGTTAATGTACAATAATAGAGTCCAGACGATGCTGTTACGCCTTTTCAGATTTTGGGTGGGGAAGCTCAGATAGTTCAGGTATGTGTAGCAGTAGCATCATTGTCTTCCTTCCATGTTCATCATCCTGATCCTGATTTCTCTTGCCAGATTATGTTGAAGCCAGAAGACAAGGTCAGTGCAAAACCAGGTATTTGCTTGCTTGCTGTGCTGAAATAGGCTTATTAGATTTATTTATTGATGGTAAGTGAGTTATTTACAACAGGCTGCATGTGCTATATGTCTGGCTCCATTCAAATGGAAAATGTTTATGCCCCAGAGAATGAAGCAGGAATGTGGCAATGGGTTTTTGGAAAGAATGCAACTAAAACAATCTTTGTAAACAGTGGGTCAACCGATGGATTTGTTGCCATGGCTGCACCTTATTTAGGAAGAATCCTCCCGGTTTGTCAATCTGCCAATATTTGTTAGTTAGTTACTACATTTGATGCTTGATTCTGATGTATTGTATATTTTCTTTTAACTCTGTAGATTGACCTGGCAAGATTCGGTGGTGAGATATTATGCCAGGTATGATATTAAATATTAATTCATTCATCATCATTGTCTCAGTTTCTGTTATTTTCTGAATCTGTCTGTAGCCAGATGCATTTCTTTGCTCCATTGGTGATGTAAAAGTCAGTAGCAACACATTTGATCAGAGGGGACCTAATCGTAATGCTGTTGAGGTGACATTTTCTTTTTCCAGGTTTTGTCCCATAATATATAATATAATTTAAAATTTGTTACTTTACAGAGATTGTTGAGACAAAAAGTATCTGGGCAAGGCCTGGCATTCATGGTTGGGGGTGGTTCTGGTAATTATGATTTTAATTCATGTTGCCTTACATTCTGCTTGATATGGCCTGTGAATGTGTTTATGTTTCTTGTGGTTTTGTAGTTGTGCAGAAAAATCTTGAGGTTGGTGAGATACTTTCAGTGGACATTTGTAGCATTATTGCCCTGTCAACAACAGTGGATGTACAAATCAAATATAATGGTCCAATGAGAAGGGTGGTGTTTGGGGTAATATATATTTTTCTTTAAAAAAAAAAAAAAAAAAAATAGAGTAACAGTTTGTTAGTTTCTAAAAAGTAAAATGGTTGGGCATGCATGCCAGGGGGAGAATCAGAATATGGTGACAGCAATGATGAGAGGACCAGGAATTGTGTTTATCCAGAGTATGCCCTTCCCTCGCCTTTCTCAAAGCATTGCTAGGTTAACAACCCACCCACTCAAGAGTCAAGTCATCACCTTTAAGCTTTTACATATCTTCTTCTATTATTTACAGAATTGTTTGTGTTTGTGTTTATGGAATGGATGCAGGGGGGTTACATCTCCAAATATGAGGTTGAGGGACAATCCAAAGTTGTTGATGCAGATACTCGTCTTTTCCTTTCTTGCTTATCTTGTGCTCGGTTCATTTTTGCTATATACAGACTTCTGAATTCTGATATATGCAACAAAACAAATACACAGTGTGAGGGAGTTGAAATGTTAATGATAGTGGAAAAGAGAATTGAAGTTAAATTTGGTTTCTTGCTGATCTGAAAGATGTTATTATAGCCATAAATAATACATGCTTTGATGTTGATTCCATAAATTAGAATATCACTTGATGCTAGAAAAGATTTTACATTGATTGGATGAAGGAGAAAGAAAGTGAATGGGCATCATGATTATGAGCTTTTACAGATGAAAAGTACATATACATGCATGGTACTGTATTTGTAAGATTCTTTATGTTATGTAATATGTATAACAAATCAAAGGGGTAGAGATGGTCTTGAATTTGATACATATATCCAAATTAAACCAACAAGATAATAGAGATCTATCTAAAATTCTGTAAATTGGTGGTTTTAAGATGTTCAAGTGCTTGTCGGATGGAATCCTCATCTTGGGTGGAATATTTCAAGCATATCAGACGCTGAGCCACTGTATATGCCATCTGAATACCTTCATATGCCTCATAGTTCAACTCCTTTCTCTTCCCTTCCTAACCAACCAAAAGTTAGCAAAATTACACATCTCATCATAACCATTTCTAATAAAAATGCTTCCATTTTTTTATTTTTATTTTAATCCTAACCCTCTAAAACTAACCCTAATTATAATCCTCCTCTTTCATTTGTTGAAAACCACAAGACAAGAAACCAAGGAAGAGTTTGATTACCTTTTCTGTAATCCTTGAAGTGATATTTTTGGCAGTCTCGATAACTGAAGTTGGTAGCCCTGCCACTCCTGCTAATAGAAGTCCATAATGTGGTACGTGGCGCCACCCATCTTTCAGCTCAAACTGTAGTGGAATTCATATCATATCATTATCAACAACATATTAATCTGCTGCTGCTGTTGGTAATACATACATACATACATGAAGTTTACCTTGAAATCCAAGCGATTGTTTTTTACTTCAACATTGAAGTGAAGAATCTTGACATTCGGATATATGCTGGCTACTTCTGCTAGCTTTTCCATGTGTGTGGCAAATATTGTGTAACTGAAACCCCATCCCCCAATTAACAAATAAGTGATGAAGATTCTACTATGGAAAACCATATAATGATAGCATATGGGATATAAAAATAAAATTACGGTTTGAGTGATAAGAGTTGTTCACAGCAGCTCCATGCAATTGCAAAACCATCAGAGGAAGATGTAGCCCTCCCAAGCTCATCCATCACAACAAGACTCCTGTCGAATATATATGTATGTATATGTATCTGTTGAGTATATTAAGCAGCCCTGATTGTAAATTGTGTACTATATGTTACCTTTCAGAGATATTCTGCAAGATAAAAGCTGTCTCTTTCATCTCTGTCATGAACTGCAAAATCACAACTTGTTCAATCATCTACACAACTCAGCTTCTAAAGATATTTAGAAGATGGTAGGATTTGAGAGGTAGGTAGGTTGTTTGATTTGTTAGTTTAGTTGTGTCAAGTGAAGTGATGAGTAGGAAAAGAAAAGAAAGGCATACCGTACTGGAATTTGATTCAAGATTATGGAGTGTGCCCATCCTTGTAAAAACACGATCCACCACTCTTAGGGTTGCAAACCGGGCAGGAATGTAACAACCAATTTGAGCAAGGATCACAATCAGACATATTTGCTGAAGGTATGTACTTTTTCCACTCCTGAAATAAAAACAACAAACAACAAACAACAAACATCTACTATTAATATTATTATGAGTTATGACAGTTGTAGTTGAGGACAAATAAATCATTACATGTTGGGCCCCATGACAATCACCATGTTTGAAGCCTCTGAAAGAAAGATGTTGTTGGGCTGCAACGCAAATTGCAAATTGCAAATGGAAGAGAGAAAGAGAGAGTGAGAGTCAGAAATAAAGCAGAGCAATTAATATGAGGAACGTACAACAAAATCAGTGTGCACGCTTTCTAGTATAGGGTGCCTTCCAGCATCAATTGCCAGCGGTCCGTTTTCTATCAGTAAAAAAACAGTCATTCTTCCATTTCCATTCCAATAACAAAAAAATATACACAAATAATTACCAGTGAAATGAGGCCTGGTGTATCGATCTACAGGCTTGGTTGAAATCATGTGAGCAAATGAATTAACAATCATATCCAATAGGCATAGGATCTCAGCAAGCAAGGTCAGCACCGACACATCCTCCCGAATTGCATCCATTAGTGCTGTTAAGGCTTATGCTAATCAAGTATTATTCCACATCAAACCAAAAATCTCAATCTATACACAATACACTCACCTTCCAAGCAAACTTCTGTACGCAGATAACAGTCTTTTGCTGCAGACTTGTTTCTTGCATTTAACTTAACCATCCAACCAACCCATTTCATTATTGACAAATTAGCAGCAAACCAAATAAATAAAAGACTCTTTGTTGACCAAATAACTAACCACAAAAATATACTCACAGAAGCAAGATCCAGAGTTGAGCAATGTATACTGTTCCCATGCTTGGCAACCTAAAAAATTGTTTCAAAATCAGATCGAGGAGAAGAAATGGTTAATAATGGTATTTGGTACCTGAATGAACTTGTTGGGAAGCTTTCCCTGTGTCTGTATGTCCTTGAGAGGAATATTGAAGTAAAAGCCATGCCTATTGTTGAATGGGATTTTCAAATTTGGAAGCTTATAATCTTCACGATACTTATTTGCAAGGTTGTGTATAGCTGTAAATATTATGATTATTACACATGAATGAATGAATGAATTAGTGATTAGAGATGAGTATAAACTGGTACCTACCTTGGCTGGTGTCACAGAAGGATCTTCGTGCAAGATCAAGAAATCCATCGATCCCGGCCTTCACAGCAAAACACTGCTGTGTCCGCGCAACAAAAGGAACTCTTGCATCAACTACATCCTCATCGATCACCTCCCCGATCCTGACATATTTTACTACTACTTACCAATTTATGATTTATGTAAAAAAAAAAAAACAAAGCATGATGTTACCTTTTCCTCATACAAGCATATTTCTCGTTTGCGCAAACAGATCTGTATATATTTGCAAGAAGATAGCTGTTTGCATCTTTCAGTACCTAACACCAGTTACAACTTTAAACTCCTCAAATGTTTTTTTGGAGTTTGAGCATACAAGTTATATATGTACCTTGGAGAGAAATGGCAAGGCATCCAGAGCCGTTTTCAGAATAATAATGTTTCCTATTACAACCTGGCTCTTTCTAGCATTGTCAATCCCCCCCAAGACCGCATTAGTGACTTTCTTCCTCTTGAAGCAGAAGTTACAGAGGACCCTGTCTGAATCAAAACATGAGTACATACATCATGTCATGGTAACTAATAATCAATCACCACAGACTAACCAGTTTCTTTTGGAAACTTTTGAAGAGCCTGTGACAGCCCAAAAAACAGCTGTTCATTGGTCATTAATTCATCCTGCATCATTTATTTAGTTAATAAATCATCTTCTGAAACCTAACTGCCAGATATTGCATACATTTATTGTTAAAAAAAAAAAAAAAAGAATCACTGACTGACCAGGCAATCAAGTCGAGCTTTGATGGTTTCTATATCTTTCAAAGGTTGCAACAGATTGGCACGAAGAAGTCTAGTCCTGCAACAACAAAATAAACACCCAATTATCTTCCAGTAATATGCCAATGGCAATGGCAATGGCATACCCTCCAGCAGTCCTTGTCGACTTGAGAGTCTGGAATAAACTTCTCTTTTTGTTGCTTGTGCCCAGAAGTGTAGAATGCAGTGGCTCTATAATCTCCAGGTTATGTACACTATCAAGCAGATACTTAGTTATAATAAATAATAAGCTGATCCGATCAGGATGATTTACAACATACTGTAAAAGCTTAAAAAAAACCTACCTCGTTGCATCAATATTCATATGGTCAAATGATCCGTTGAAAGTCACCTGAGAGGTGAAAAAAGATGCAAGGAAAGAGGAATCAGTGGAAGATATTTTTGACCCGTAATAAGTCGAGACAAATACTTAGGCAATACTGGAAGGCCTCACAGCAGAACAGCTTCCTCTGTTAAAAGTACATGTGAAAAGAAATAGAGACTTACTAACAATGAATGATTTGTAATGATGATTCCTTTCTCTGCTTCAATCCTGTGTTTGACAAAGCAGTTAACAAATTCTTATTTGGTAGACACTGACAGCCTCATTTAGCATCTCAAATATTTTGGAGGATTAGAATCCCATCTCTTGTCACCAAAAAAGAATGAATCATGTATCAGATAAAATGTAATTAAATTTCAATAAACAAATGGTACCACTTGATAGTTGCTGCAGCAGCAGCCAGGCAGAGATAATATTGCTTGTAATAAGTATCCAGACCAAGTGCAGAAGGTTCTTTAGCAGCTAAACTTTTTACCAGCACAGCTCCCTTCAAAAATACATACCCATTATAGCATATTTCAAACTATTAGTGAATGAGAAACAACTGAAGCCTTACCTTTGTATCATCAAAGCAACCACGAACCATAGTGACCTGCAAATGTTAGCCCATACTTAGAGTTTTAACTATAGATCAGAAACAACATTTTTATATAGAGTAGATACTACCTTTCGAATTGAGGAATAGAATTTATCAACTAATTCTGATACCCCAACCATGCCATCAGGTGCTAGCTTGTTAGGGGGGACAATAATTGCCATTGGATCATAGAAATGCAGCAGTGTCTTCGTGTTTTGATATGAGCTGCTAGTTTCAATGTATTCAGAAAGGTGAAGTGAAGCCGACCTCAAGTCAAAAGCAGCCACTCCAACCTGATGATAAGATGGATATCTCCAGTTAGGATTTGGAATAACAAAAGACAAACAATCATCATCAGATGCCCATTTCAGCTAGCTAAATCCGAATCTTCATAGCAGATCACAGAATTCTGAAAACTATGGTTCCAAGGTGTATTATCAGTAATAAAATACAAGATTTCAAACAGTATATGAGCAAAAACTGCATGGCCACGCAGAAAATATGTGTGTCTTTCACCATGTTTGTAACAGGTTTGTTTATATGAATCAGGTAACGAAAACTATGATCATCAGAGTCCGGAGAGAGATTGGATTTGGAATCTATCCTTCACACATTCTAAAGTCTTTTAAGTAACTTAACTAAGTCGATCATCGTATCTCCTTCCCTCCACCCTTTCAATTCTTAATCCAAAAACCACAATTGCTTCTAAATGAGGCCTACACCAGATGCAAAAGTAAAAGGAAACAAAATCTTCATCTCTTACAATTGAAACAACAATAATCATTTCTTTCAGTTGCATTGTTGATCTAAGAAGCAAGCACGAATTCGTCCTACAATGAAAAAAAAGGAATGAACAAGATAAGAGTAATAATTGCTCGTAACACCCAGCGATATGTTTTAGGAATTGAGTGATGATTAACGAATAACGATAACTTCATCATATACCATGCCCTAATCCCAATGCAGAACCAAGTACGTATACATACAAATATCTATATATACCGATTCACAGACACAAAACACATATATAGGGAATGAGAGCTAAGCAGCGATACCTCCTTAGCTCGATTCTCTATGAGCCCAATCACGAAGCTTGATCGCTCTCCCGTGTCATCTTCCATTTCCACTCAAATGGTCACTTCTCTGAAAGAAAACCCCAACCGTAAAAGTAACTTTGATATTATTTTTGTTTTCTGAATGCGCGCCTATTTTAAGCGTCGGAGGAGGCTGTAATTACTTGTATCTCCATCGAAGGACGATGCATTAATAGCGTGTACCTCGATGGTTGACTTATAGATTCAAAGGTTCCTGCTCAAAAAGAAAAAAAAACAGAAAAAAATACCTTGACCGCATTTCAATGGTAGTTAAAAATTTACCAAATATCAAATAGTGTAAAATATTGTTCGTTACATAATCTCAGTTTTTATTTTTTAATTATATCCATATATAACTTTTTGTAGTTTTTATTTTTAATTTATTTATTTTATATCATTTTTATCTTCTGATTAAGAGAAAAAAAGGCCATAATAACCATTTTTCGAAGTTTTTACAACAAAATTGTCACAAAAATAAAAAATGATCAAATTTAATTTTCATAGACTACCATTTGCAAACATGTAGGCGACATGCAAAAACCATTGTGATTGGGAGAACCCAAATCATATATGATTGTTACGAAGTTTATATGCGAAAACAATGTAATTTTTTTTCATAATTTTCACCGAATAACCTACTTTAAAGTTACGTATGTATTATTCCAAACATCCAAATTATGAGTGTAATATGTCCATGGAAATCTCTTGTTACAAAAAACATAATAAAATACAACTCAAGTGGAGTTCGTATACAAAAGTTATAAATGATGAAATTTGTTTTTTTTTTTTTTCATATTTTTCACGGGTCTGATAGCATAAAACTCGACGAGTTATCAGATAACTCGGCGAGTTGGGTTCACTGGGAGTTGACCTTGATTTTTAACCTTGACCAGAAGTTGATTTTAACCAAGGGTAAAATGGTCATTTTACCCTAAGAAGGGTTATCATATTTTGACTAAGTATTATTGTGATTTTGATAGTCGGGGAGACGTTGGAGCAATTATCAAATATTCCTCGCCGTGAGATTTCACAGACAGCTTTAAGAGGTGAGTTTTCCTCAAGTAGGAACGGGTCGAAGGCACCAATATCGGCCTATTTATGTATTTAGAGTATGTCGGGCTTCAATCCGATGTTGGGATTAGTCTGATGTATATTATATATTTCCGGACTTTGGTCCGATGCCGAGGCGGTCCCAAGAAGGGTATATGTATGCTTGATGTCTTTTGTGATTCATGCATGTTATGTGTTAAGGTATTTCGGGGCAAGCCCGATGTTGGGGTAATCCCGATGAAGAGTTAGCTTATATGTTATGTGTACCAGACTTCGGTCCGATGTCGAGGCAAGCCCGAGGAAGTTTATTATGTTTATATGTTATATGCTTATGTGTTATGTGCTTGTTGTTATGATATGTATTCCGGACTTCGGTCCGATGTCGGGCAGGGCCCAATGCCGGACTTCGGTCCGATGCGGGCGGGGTTCGATGCCAGATTAGTCTGATGTCGGGTGGGGCCCGATGCAGTGGGCAAGGCTCAATATGTGTTATTATGTGTTAATGTATGGTATGTGGTAGTTTGGGGAGCTCACTAAGCTTCGTGCTTACCGTTTTCAGTTTGGTTTCAAGTACTTCAGCTAGCAAAGGGAAGGGCTCGGAATGATCGCATGACACACACCACAATCTTCAGTCTGGGATATTTTAGACTCTGATATTTGATACATGATTTGATACAGTTTTCTGGTTATGATGTTTGAGATACCTGACATGTGATTTTATTATGATGTTTTATGAGTTATGGGTTTTTCTTTAATAATTTAAAAACGAAATTTTTGGATTATATTTTTGGGATGTTTCAGACTAAATATTAGCCCTTTATAATAATGTCATTCAGCCTCCGGTATGTTTCATTCAAATCTTTATTTTATATCATATTAGTTCCTAATACTATCTTTGAAAGACTAAATATTAGTATTTGATATTATCATGTTTAGTCTCCGATATCTTTCCTTTAAAGCCCCACTTAGATCATATTAGTCCTTAATTTAAATGAAATATAAAATAATAAATGGAAAAACACAATACCATTAATCAATTAAAATATAAATATTAAATAACAACAATATTCTTAATATTAAAAATACAAATTTCTTGAAAAACTAACAAGTCTAAATGTTTTGCTAGTAACACTCAAATTATAAAACTATCAAACTAAATACTTGTTGAGGAAGAAAAACGAAACTTAATTGCATATGAACTTTACATTTTTTTTTTCTTGTTTATCCAACTTATGACCAATTGCATTTCATATAACATAATACATCACATTAAAAAAAATATATTAGAGTAGACTTGCAAGCAGCTTAATACATAAAATAATTTTTTATAATAATTTTGTTTTAGAAAGAATAAATACAAAAAATAACTAAACAAAAAAAATTAAAGTAAAAGAGAAATATGGAATACCTTTCTTCAAAACTTTTATATTCAATGGTGGCTTTGTCCATCAATCACTTCTATCTGTTTGATCAAACAAATGATTAGATACACATAATAAACCATGATGACCGATAATAGATCTCTAAATTTATATATATCAACTTAGCATTATTTATGCATATAATTAAATACACGAACCGACCTTATCCTCTTTCTTCCTCTACTTTGCAATGTCACCATGAGTCTATATTGAAGCACAAATCATGTAAAAATTATGAAAAAGGGAAGTAAATCAAACTTTAAAAATAGGAAAAAAATTGAACTAGTTTCTTGTCACGTCTTACCATTGTAGGTGATGAAGTTGGCATTCCAATCACTATATGTACAGAATGTTTTTCATGTACAAAAAAGACCATAAAACTTAGCTACATAATCTTATACTCATAAATTATTAAAGTATTTCAAATAGAAAAGAAAATAAGAAGTGAAAATTGGAATTGTAAAAATTCATGCATGCAATAAGTAACATCTTATACCAGTCAGAAATTGTAAATGAACAACCACTATTAGGGAATGAATATTTGGTCAATCAAAAAACAAGTTTGAATTTTGACTACTAATCTTTAGTGTAGAATGGTAAAGTCAAAGCTATCTCCAACAATTGAACCCTATTTCATTATTATCAGTCATTTGCAGATCTCACAAAAAAAAAAGTGAATTCATCACACTATGTAAGAGATGTAAAATAGAGTCAAATTGTACACTGAATTCGCATTCTTCAAAAGAATCATATGAGGATCTTAACTTAAATAAGTAGTCTCCTTATATCATTGAAGTTTGACTTTAAAGCTCCCATGAAATCACCAGAAAAGAAAATATATATTTACTCATTCATCACTTTTCATTTGAAATGAAATTAAATAAAATGTGCTAAACCAAATACCTGCAATTTCTCCATCAAATACACGGTCAGCTGATAATGTGTTCAGTTTTGTAGCAATCGTCAGTTTTTCGATTCCTGGAATTAATAAATAATACACAAGTTTAATTAATTAGTTATCTAATCACCATACTAATAAAATAATTACTACAGAAAATGACTTGAGAGTTGAGTTTACCATCTTCATCGAATACTGGGCAACCACCTTGTTTCCCCTACCAACTGCAAGAATACCATCCTACACACATACATGAAATAAGTAAATGAATAGAATTGTTATAAAAACCATTGAAACAAAGCTTGAAATTTGAAACAAATATAAAATTTCTGCTACTGTGACATGAAAATGAGGAAAAGAAACATATATCATGTGAAAAATACTAATAATCACATCCATGCTCATATGAGGCTATGATAATTCTAGAATGTTGAAACAAATAGTCAAAATGTATTATACTGAGATGAAATAGAGAGAAGGAAAATCTCTTGATTTTATCACTTCAACTACAATCAAAGAAACGCTAAGAAAGGAATATGGACAGAAGCGGCTTATATAAGGTGCGATCGAGTTAGCATATGAAGCCCGATTCAAATTTGTTAACTGTTTTCCTTCCTAATTTTTTTGTGATTTCCTTACTGATTTCTTGGTGATCTATTGTGGGATAGTATCATTGTTTGAAATTCAAAATCCTGAAATGGAGGAACGTAATTACTAATGGCCAATGGGTATATGATAACTGAAGGGTATTTTGGGAACTTCACATTGAAACATCGAGGGCTTACCCAAGCATCACTCTAGTTTCTAGCACCACAATATAGCGACCCTAAACCATCTATGTCACAAACACACTTGCAGCTGATTATCCCTGTACGAATGTGGTAGGTGATATTAGATGATTCTAGTATATTTCAACCAATCTAAATAAAAAATTTACCAGTTGGTTCATAAGCTAAGTTTTTTACAGTCAAATACTTATGACGTTCAATATTATTCTTCAATGGATACATATTATTTAAAACATATCATATAATAGCAATAATCTTGCTAACAAAATCAAAATATAGAGCAAATGCTAAATGTAAGCCGAAAACGATACCTGATGTTAAAATACATAAAAAATATTATATTACCCTTTCCCTCTTTCGGTTGAAACAAAATACCAAGCAATAGCAAACAACACCCGTCGATTTGAAGCAGAATGATAGTTAATGGAGAGCAGATGGACCGATTAGTGACCATAGCAAAGGGCTATGAACACAGCGGTGAAGGGAATCCATTTGACAAGAATATTGTTGGAGCTTAATGTGTTTCTTTGAAAATAGAGAATTGTAGGGTGAGTTTGAAGAAGAAAGCGACTACTACATATGAGAATGGGTTGTCTAGGGGTTCAATTGGAGTAATATACAGAGATATAGGGTGAGAATTATCAATTGAAGAGAAATGGGTGAGGTAATTGCTGATTTATCGACTGATGTTACAACTGAAGGGAATGAATTAGGGATTTTGGAATCCAAATCACAGCTAATCAAGGACCGAGATTTGAGGATGATTGAAGATTTAGAAGCGATTGAAATATGAAAATTGAAGAGGAACCAGTAAACGAACATATAAGGCCAGAGGATAATTTGGGAAATTCGCTTTGATGAAATGAGCGGGAATATAAGCAAGGAGGGTGCTTGGAGAATGCCACGTGTTATAATAGTACTTATTTATTAGAATAGGATAAGAGATAAATATGTAGAGAGAGAAAAATAATGCGATGTATAGCGTTTATAAAACAGTATATAGTCTAGATTTTTCTCAATTGTTCTCAAATTTAAAATTGTTCTCATTTGAACATAACTCTATATATATATATATATATATATATATATATATATATATATATATATATTATTCCACTAATAACTATGAAAATTAGTGGCGTAAAAAGTTTAATTTTTATGATATTTTTAAGGCAAATACAAAAATAATTCCAAGTTTTATGCGTATTGTTGGCAAAAACCTTTTGTAATGTTTGTAAAAATCATAAGTTTTCAGATGACTTTTTATTTTTTATTTACTATGTGACATCCCCAATTTCACGACCAAAAAAGACCAATTTGTTTATGCTTTGTTTTTAAAATCAGAGTAATCGTTTAAAGAAAATTGTTGCGGAATTTGTCCCCAAAACAAAATATGATAAGAATTTATCAAAACATTTCTTAAAGAAAAGTATTTTTATTATATAACAAAATCTAGGGATATCATGTTCCGATACAGACACATAAGCATAAACAAAACTTACATTTATTTACACTAATGATTTACATCTCTTTTAATCTCTCAGTGAAATATGTCTTCGTATTGATACCTGTGATACAAAGAAAACTGAGTGGGTCAGTCTTGGGAGCCTGGTGAGCATATAGGGTTTTCGACCCACAATAATATAATTATTATATTCAACCATCAAACAATCAACCCAATTACCCACCCCCATTATCTTCTTTATTTCTCAAGGTTTTACCCTAAGAATTCAACTATCATTCATTCATTCCTAAGGATTGACCTAAGGAATTGACACAAAATCTATTGCTACATAAGGCGCATCTACCAACATCATCCTTTAAGCGCCTCTGCCATGATTACGTCATACACTATGAGGTGCGGCTGCCAGGTTAATGACATCCTCTTTTAGGCACATCTGCCGAAATTATCCTATAAGCGCATCTACTAGTATTATGACATTTTCTATTTGGTGTATCTACCAATATTATTCTTAAGCGCATCTGCTAGTATTACGACATTCTCTAATTGGTGCATCTGCCAATATCATTCTTAATCATCTTACATACCTCATCATTTACCTCATCATTTTATCACATACCAACTATCTCATTTACCCATGTTCTACCCAACATATTAGTAGATATAAAATACATATATAGTTTAACTTATTTAAAAACCATATAAAACATCTATTCCACACTTATCTCAACTAAAACAACAATATATAAACACATAGCATGTATTTCATAGCAAATACTTCATATTTATGTATTAGAATAAAGTAACCACACACTCACACATATAAACAACAATATATATACACATAGCACGTATTTTATAAAATACTTCATATCTATGTGTAAGACGAAAGTGACTATACACTCACTTGATCAGAAGATGATCGGACAACACTACGACTTGTAGAAGTAGTATTCTTGGGTAGATTAGGAAGATCTTCACAAAAACCGGGCTCCTCGCGGGCAGGGCTTCGGCTCGGGAATATCACGTCTCGGGATATTCGAGACTTCGGAACTTGCTTCGGGGCTCGGGAATGATACCGGGGCTTCGGGATATAATTGGCACGTAAATCGAAGCAAAAACTATAGAGAAGAAAGAAAATGAGCAAAAAAAATGGCTGATCTCGGTTTCTATTTATAGGCTGATGGGTCTGGGATTACGTTGGGCATAATTTCCAAGTACGTTGGGCGTACGCTTCGGATAAGCTTTAGTATGCGTGCCACGATCTTCAAAAACTCATAAATTTCGCATACGAGCTTCGTTTTCGACGTTCTTTATATCCACGTGTAGGTGAGATTATGCTCTACAACTTTCATTTAGCCTCCGTTGGCTAATTTTGACTTTATTCTTATTATATTATTTTTAGTAGGCCGGGATAGGAAAACTCCGTTATAAATTCACAACTTCTTCATCCGACGTCCGTTTTTGTCTGTCTTGTTACCGTTGGAATACTATCAACAAGATCTTCGACTCACGTTTAGATTGTTTTGGATAAAAACCGCTCGATCTCAAATCGAGTATTCGGGCTGCATACCGCTAAGTCGAAACTTAGAAAAATCATAACTTCCTCATACGAAGTCAGATTCGGACGTTATTTTTATGTACCCTCATGGTTTAACGAACTCTACGACTTTTGTTTAGATTGCTAAGGCTAAATATCAATCTAACATAAATTCACTTTTTACGTCATCCAGCGTCGCGCCAGTTCTGTTACGAAACTTCGACGAGTCATAACTTCTTCGTTATAACTTGGATTCCGGCGTTCTTTATATGCACAAAAACCTTGTGACATATAATATAACTTAGTTAAGATTATTCATTCTAAATAATCTTCTATCAAAAAGTCATTTTTGACGCTTATCGTCTCTAAATTGACTAGCTCGAATCTACGGGCGTTACAATTATCTCCCCTTAGGATGATTACGTCCCGAAATCATCAACGAAACAGGGCTTGAATAATGATTCCATACGTTAACTTTCCATCCTAATTAATAATTGTGATGTTCAATCTTACATCTACTCTTCATACTATGTTGGACTTTCAATCGTAACCTTCAATTTATAAAATAAATCCTTATTGTGGATTCCTTCTTCTTCTTAAGATAAATACATTCATTTGTCTATTGTAACAGACTTGTGGGTCGTGTCCTGATGACCTCTCATCGTATGATGCAACGCTTAGATTTAAGTCTCATAGACTCAAATTCCGGAATGGAATATACCTTCCTTCATATTCTAATGTGATATAATCACATTTTTACATGTAGTGTTTCTAGCTACAAGCTTCCTTAACAACGAGCACGATGCTATCGATCGCATTGATTTCAATCTTCTGACTTGATTCATATGCTACCTCGAAATTGGTTCTATGAACCACGTAACAAACTCTTTGTATTCGGACTTAATTTGATATGACCGCTATGGTCAGAATATCAATCATCTTCTTAGTCACTACCGAAGCAATGGTAACGACATACTTGAATGAAACAAGATTAACCACTAGCTTCTTGGTAACCTTGTGACTTTCCCTGATCCAAGTGTGAGTCCTGTGCTTCCGGTAGTATATGCATCTACTACCTTTCACACCTACTATGACTAGGACCAACCGTATCTTTCATTAGTATTATGTCTATGTGATCTATGATATGTACAATCGACTCTATGTTTAAGTGACTACACTACTCATAGGGTCGTCATGCTGCCGGATTTTATATTTCCTATGTATTGTATGCCTTCTGGAAAAATTTCATGTATCAAAACAATTAGTATTAATGAAAATGCTTTATGTTTTATCATGACATTGTTATCTGATGTGACATCCCCATTTTCACGTATAGAAAAAATCGATTTTTGTTTATGCTTGTTTGAAAATCAGAATAACATTTTAAGTAAAAGTGTTGCAGAATTTGTTCACAGTAAAATATGATAAATACGTTATCAAAGCATTTCCAAAGAAAAGTATTTTTATTCATTTTAAAACATCTAGGATGTCATCGTCAATACAGAAACATAAGCATAAACAGAACTTACATTCATTATCACTAGTGATTTATATCTCCTTAATCTCTCAGTGTAATGTGACTTCATATCAACACTTGTGATATAAATAACTGAGTGGGTCAGGTTGGGAAACCTGGTGAGTACATAGGGTTTTCAACCCACAATAAATAAGTTTATTAACCTTTTCAAACCAAACAAACCCGATTACCCGTTCCCGTTATCCTCACTTTACATCCCTAAAACATCTAACACAAGGGACCTAGTCTAAGGACTTTCATCAGGGTGATGACACATGGTTCGGGGGTTCCTCAGTAATTCATGTCAAATAAGGCAACCATTTGGGGGATGGAGTACTGCTGGTGAGCACACAGTTCAAATAAACACCTACAGGTTGCGAGCTTGCTAGCGTTCTACTAGACTGTCTAGAATAGTCTGTGGTTGTCATCTATACTCCGCTAGATGACTGGATCATCAATATTATCTATATCGAGGTCTCTCATTATTTTATTTGGTCACACATCAACTATTACATCCACCCATGTTTTACCCATCACATTTTGTAGATATAAAATACTTATGCACTTTAAATCATTTAAAACGTGTATAAAAATATTTCACCCAGCATAGACAACAAATATTCATACAATATGCACACATAGCACGTGATTTATATTAGATACTTCATATCTATGTGTAAGATGAAAGGGACCATGCACTCACCTGAGAAGGTGGTAACTCGGCATTCGGACAATACTTCATTATTTCAAAACAATTTCCATCGAACAAAACCTAGTATCATTACCACTAGAGTTTAGTCTAATATTCACCGAGACTAATTAATAGTCTAGTTATTATTACTATTATATAACCGTTAAACAACACTCTTATATAACTCATAATAATAGCCCAAGTACTTATTATAAGTTTCTAATAACATTACTATATTAAAACATAAGCTATACTAAAGATAGGTTAGGCGTAGTTCACTTACAACGGGTTCTCTCGAAAACCGGGCTTCACTGGAGCAACGTTCCCGAGCTGAAAGGCTCTTCTTCTTGGGGACGTCGGGCACTCCGGGGCTTCCTCCTCGTTCTAGGGGGTTCCCTTAGGTTTTTCGGGGGGTTTTAGGGCTTAGAGAGAGAGAGAGTATAGAGAAAGAGAGGAATGAAGGGTTAAGGTGTGAAGAATGAAGAAGAGGGGCGTCTCTATTTATCGGAGGCTGAAGAGGCTCCCACGTTGTGGCCATTTGATGCCCACGTTGTGGCCAACTGGGTACAGCCAGGCATAGCCTGGTGCTGACACGTGCCATCGCACATAG